GCAGATTAGAGAACATGATTGCTAGTTATAATACATACACTGTAATTGAAACTGAGGGACAAACAACGCCTCCAAAAGGCAGAGGTAAATTGTGTCGATGATAAGGTCTGGAATAATCAAGTGAACAAAAGAAACCACAAGGTTAATGATGAGGTAGACATCTCTCGGCGATGTGCAGCAGATGTTCTTTATAATGCACGAATATAATGCAGGACCTACTGCTTTATCGTCCACATCTGACTGCATGTCAAAAGCAGATATCCAGTGCTCTCAAGATCCAAGATGAACCACTTGCACATGCAATTGGACTGCCTGCTTAGGTGATTAACAGATTAAAATCACGACAGTGGCGAGATGACAGTCGACTACAAGAACAAAGTATGCAAGCTCTATCATCAAGAGACGTGATTCCAGGTAAGGAAAGAATCTGACGAGCTGCTGCCATAGCCACATTTGCATGTACACAAGGTTTGTGATGCAGGACAGCACAGTGCAACAAGGACATCCATAGAGGATTCTACTTCTCCGACATTAAGAATGTCTTATGAATTTAGCTGCATCTTTTTGTCTGACATTTTTACTGTAGAGGTTCTAATAGTCAAAGATATTATACATGGTGTGGACATGGAATCCTGAACCCTTTAAACCTTATTCTTTTCCACCATTTCTTTTGACCGGGTATCCGTCAAAGACAAGAATCCGGTGGGACCATAATGAAAAGAATACATACGGTGCACAAAGAACTCTCCGAGTCAAAACACTTTACCCCTGTCCGGAGAAATGGTGCCCTTCTCTTAAATCCGACATCGTATAAGGTTGATGATCCTAATTCCAGTTCAACTAATAGATCCACTTAGGGATTCGAAGGATCAAGACTACACCACCTAAAATCTATGGGGATGGGAGATCTCCGGTTTAATTGCTGATGCACTCGTACCCACTAGTTTCTAGTGAAGGCTGTACCTGAAGGCCGCTGCCAACCTTGTATATAAATACGGAACCAACACTCCGTCTCTTGGCCAACCTTGAGCCATTTCCCTCTGGCAGTTCAGAGCTACGCAGATCAGCCATGGACAATAGGCATGACTCTGAGACTGTTAGGTACACCACCAATCCTTCTTCACGTACACTCATCTTTTATGCATCATGCATGTGCACGTTCCTGTTTCTTTTCCTAATGGTCATACTTTATATTGTGTTATTTGAAGTTCTTTTGTATATTTCTAATCTGGCTATTAAATGCGGTACGAGCAGAAACAAATGCGCAGCATGTTTCAGGCAATACAACAAGGTGGAGCATCTGGTGGAACATATGAGGGTTTCATTTCACTCGGTGCATGAGCCAAAGTGTGGGGTATGCCAAAAACACTGCAGGTTTTTTGAATCTCTCAGGGAGCATCTGATAGGTAAGCGATGTCTGAAGTTGGAAGCAGCTCTCGTCGCTCGACATTTGTATTCTAAGGATCAGATGATATCTTTGTTGAAGGACCACTGCCGAAGATTGAATGTGCCAGGGTATTCAGAACTCGAGGATGTAATCTATGCCTCAACATCTTCGAAAGTCCAAATGCCCTTGGAACTCACCGTGCATCATGCCAACTCTCTCGCGATGCTTCGGTGAGTGACCTAAATGATAGAAATCATCTCAAAACAGTGCATCATCTCCTTAAAGGAAGAAAGAAGAACTGTCATGCAAGGCTGTGTTTCATGTTCTCATGTTGTTTTTCTTTGCATGGTCTGAATTAAGTAGGAGTTGGAGATTTAATATCTGAGAATAAGATTCTTTCCAGAACTGCATAGGTGAGAATTTGATGTACTTAATGGATCATCTGTTGCTTCTCTCGAGTCTCTAAGTGCATCTTAATCATAGTCCATAATTATAGTCGAGCCAGCATATCCATTATTATCTTCATTCTTCTTTCAGGGGCTTACCTCTCGGATGTCGAGGATGAGCTTGCAAGACACATCGGATTACGGCACGCGAAATCAAGGTTCCCAGGTAGTTGCTTTGGCTTGCAAGATGGTCGGAGGAGGAAGCGATGGATCACTAGACCTGTGTGCCAGGGTCTGCCTGATCGGCGAGGACGAGAACGTTATCTTCCAGACCTACATCAAGCCCCAAATACCGGTCACAAACTATAGGTGCCTTTGTATGCCTTCTTTATTTCCTGTACTTCTCTGAACAAACTCGGTGATCAACATGGAACTCCTTATCACACGAATAGGAGGAGCACCTAATACTTCAAATCGGTCCAGGTATGAAACGACAGGGATAAGACCTGAATACTTGAGGGACGCAATGGCGCTGAAGCAAGCACAGAGGAGGATTCAGGACTTCCTTAGCAACGGAGAACCCATCTGGAAGATACGCTCTCGGGGTGGAGAGGCAAGAATCCTCGTAGGGCACGGTCTGGATCACGACCTCGAGTGCCTTGGAGTTGAATACCCTGAATTCTTGATCAGGTACCTGCTGTATCCAATCTGAGTTTCAAGCGATCATCTTTCTGAGCAAGCGATCATCTCTCTCTCCGAGCGCATGCAGGGACACAGCAATCTACCCACCGCTGATGAGGACTAGCAAGCTCAGCAATTCGCTCAAGTATCTGACACAAGCCTACCTCGGGTGAGTGAACACAAGTAAGGTTCATTTATCGTGCTTCAGCTCGCACGCGCTTGTTCACGTATACATATAATTCATCCGCAGTTATGACATTCAAACTGGAACGCAAGACCCGTACGAGGACTGTGTGGCTGCGATGAGGATTTATATCAGGATGCGATCACAGAATCATCCGCGCGACTACGCCTCAGGCTGCGGCGAGAGCCGCAACAATTACCCAGCGTGGAGGCAACGGGAGCTGGAGAAGATGACACCTGATGCGTTACTGGAACTCTCGGCATCCGATTACTACTGCTGGTGCCTGGACTCTTAAGCAAGTCGTGAAAGATGGTGCATGCATGTATCCTACGTCTGCAGGACTAGGAGCAATCTTATCTAATCTGCTGTACTTAGAAAAGACTGAAGGGAGTAGATTATGTAAGAGTTTTATAGATTGCTAGGAGTCGCAACTCATGCAACTATGTAGCTTTAAAGGTGTGCAATGAAGTCATTAGTATGCTATTGACTGCTATAATAAGTGTGGAGTACATACATGAGTATGCTCTTGACTGCTGCATGCACATCCCTTGTTTCCATGATATGGATATCTCACCAAAATCATTAAAATTCATCCATGATATATATTGTTAAATATGAATAAATCAAATTTTCCATTTTTTTTAAATATAATTAATCGATTTAATCTTCATTGTATTGTGCAAATTCTATAGCTTAAATACTGTAGTGCTTTTAAAAGGATGCTATGATGTGTCTAAAGGTGCCATACCTTTTTTCATAAAACGTATATTCTTAAATAACATTCGTTGTTTTCAAATGCTGTAAAATGATACTAAACAAAGAAGGCTATAAATTTTATTGGACCATTGGAAAGTTAAAGAAAATAAAAGGTACTCAATCAAATCATTAGCTGGTTGATACATAGAACAACTTAAAAATAAAAGAGATTTATGTGAAAATATCGAGTTTCAAACTTCACTAATTACAGCACCGTAACCATCTTATCTCTGGTAATTAATCAATTCATGATAATTAGCGTCATTATTATCAAAGTCAATCTGCACTATGGAGAAACCAATTAACCATAAACGTATCGGACGGAACGTTTGAATTGAACGGTCGAGATTAGTTGTCTGTTTGACGAACTTTCCAATCATTTCGAGTAGCTGACTAAGCCATGTCACATTAGCATGGTGAAATGGATTGAAGAATCCTTGTTTCTACAAGATTGTGATACGCCATGAGCCACGTCAACCATACGGCGTTAGCATGGTTGTCCCACCATGTCAATATGGTATTAGTGGAACAGTGACGGCTACCGCGCAACGGCAAAATAGCGGAGGGTTAGAAGAGGGCCAGAAGTAGCAATGGCTACGGCGATTGGCGGCGCTCGAAGAGCCCTCGCAGGCCGAGGGATCCCTTCTTCTCTGATCTCCGGTGCCGCAACTTCGAGAGCTTTCCCATCTTCTTCTGCTCGAACTCGGGCCTTCTCTCGGCTCTCGCGCCGCAAGCTTCCTTCTGGAATCTCGAGGTACTGCTACTCCGCATCTTTCTCCATCGTCTTCGATCTTATCCCATTCATTTATTAGTTTTAACTGAGAACTTGGGTGATCTGATCTGGAAAAGTTTACTTCTTTTGTACTTACTAATCTACTCTTTTCATGTGGAAGCGCTCACTAGTAAAATTATTTTTGGATCATCGACGCATTCAATTTTTTTCAGAATTAAGAACTTCAAAGTTTTGTTTTTCTTTTTTTTTTTTCTCTCGTTTTGCATCATCTTTCTTTTTATTTGAATATTTTTTGTGGCTTCTGGTTATATTGTTGGATTGTGTGTGGCAAAAGTGGTAGCTTTGTTATTGTAATGTGAATTGTATGCATTACTGACGAATTAGGTTCCGCAGGTCCACGGTTGAGTTGGGTTGTGCACAGTCTTTGATACCTTTTCACAGCGTTACTGCTACGGCATTGCTCACTTCTATGCTCTCCGCAAGGCCTGGAGGCTGGACTTGGCTTTCAGAAGGTAATCCATTTATGCTCTCTTCTTTTCTGTAGCTCATCATAATTAGCAAATATTATATGATAATTTGCCTGTTTTACTTTAAAACATAATTGATATGATTCCATGAATTCGATTGAGAGAATATGAGGGTATCACTTGTTGTAGCAAAAGTGTTTATTTTGCCTTATGTTTGCTTAGGTTAGTTCTGGTTAGTTTACTTGTTTTAGCTTTGTCCGAAATGTTAGGACAGATACTTCAAATCTAGCAAATTTAGATCTTTCTTTATATTCTTCCGAACTTCTGAAGTCCCACACATACTTTCAGATCCTAGTTTAGTTATGAATTGGAACTGAACTCAAAGATGTTATCTGTGTTTTCCCCTTTGTGGTTATAGAATATTTTAACACAACATACTTGTTTGTTTTGGTTTTCTTGTAATTGTATAGGTCCCTCAGGACTTCTGTTTGTTTGTTTTTATTTTCTGTTTGCAGGTCTACTATCACATTATTTAACTTTCAACAGAAAAATCAACTAATTATAGACAAAAATTTTAGGAGAAAAGGTAGGTTGGGATATATTTTCAACCACAAACTTTTAACTTTCCTAGCTACTGTTTGATCAGTTACATTGGAGTCTGTGGTTTTTTCTGTTTGTAAGAAATAGGTCCAGTGTAATATTGTTTTTATTATTCTAGTAATCTTCAGAACTCTGATTTTGGGTTTTAGAGTTTGTTCTTTGGTTAAAGAAGGTTATGGGCATACCAAAGAAAAACTCTCAAACCCAAAACAGAGTTCTAAAGATTACTAGAATAATAAATCCTTTTAACCCCCTTATTTGTTGGTATGGTATGCCGATAACCCCCTTATTCATTGGGTTTGAGAGCTTGGTATGCGCATATATGTTCTTTTAACCCCCTTATTCGTTGAAGTGTTTTTCCTGAATTTTGAAAAATAAAAAACTTAATTTAGTTTTCCCCTATGACATTTCGAAAACCAAACAAAACAGATATGCTTTGTGGCCATCACATGCTTCCATTACAGAGTGCTTAAACTTGTTTGTTGAAGTACCATGTTATGTTTATTTAAGTCCTGCTGATCCTTTGATAGATTGTGGCATTTTTGTCGGAACTCAAATGAAAGAAAAGTGTTAAACTCTTGTTTTTATTTTGCATGCTGTTGGTGCATTTGGTTCAGGGGTATTAGAAAAAAGAAAAAAAGAATAAAGAAGGATTAGTATCTGACTGGCACCAATAATCATACTTGATAGAGGGGTTCTTGTATTGTTTGTTGCTCATATTTGTCCATATAATATAAGGTCGAATAAGGATTTTCTGTAGCTTGATTGATATTTTGGAATTTCTGATATATGTAATGTGATAAAAGTTGAGTGTGCCAGCCCATATCTTTTTGAACTGTCGTCTCTTCTCTCCCTTGTTTCGCCTTATCTTTTCATTAATTCTTTGTCGTTCATCCCTGATTTGTTATGGGAATCTATCCAGCAGTGTACTTTTAGCTTCATCCATGCTTGTCAACCTTTGACTCGGTGAAATGTTGTGCCATGCCTCATCAATTTATTCAATTTCTGAGTCATGTGCTAGGGATCTTATATAGCAGTATTTACAGAATCAGGAACAAGTTCGAGGTGAATTGTATAGCATAAAATTTCAATATGAAAATGCCAGGTCAAGCAAACTGGATCATGGTGGATTGAGTTATTTTTGAAATAATCAGATATTAATTTTGTTTGGTACTGACTGGTGTTAGTCAGTCTTTTGGAGGTTTCGAGGCCCATCTCTGTGACGAACAGCCAGATCAGATCAGACCAAGAATACTATGGACCTTATTAAGTGAGAAAGTTGATATGTATCCACCTGTTATATGATTTGCATGGTATAGCCTTCACTAGCATGCATGGCATGTGTGGAACTATGTTTCATGGTGATAAGCAACACTTGGTTTCTGTCTGCGCTCGTTGGCAGTGCCTTTCTGTATCTCTTCTACAACATCATTCATTGGTCATTTCTATAGGCCATGGTTTGCTTAAGGTTATAAATTAGTGTTAGTGTTATCATTGTACTTATTTGGCATGTGCTTCTTCTATTTTCCAATAACTTCATCACGAATTTGACTCTGTTGCTTTAGGAAACATTTTTCTAATGTTCCTAACCAGCATTGTTCTTATGAACAGTCATTTATTTTGTTGCGTAACAAACAAGACAATGAGTGACTTCTGCTGGTTTAGATCATATTTACTCATGTTAAATTCCAAATATATCTACCTTGCTGAGTTTTTTTTTTCCCTCTTGAACAATGCATCACCTTATGTTATGAACCTTTGTTATCATTGCTTGAACATGTAAATCATCTGGTTGTGTTAGTGAAATGTTGGCTGATATTTTATTTGCTTTGCATATTTAACATGATAACTTTATGTAGGATTTGCAACACCTCTATGACATCAGAGATAAACATGAAACAAATGCCGTGCCGAGGATTGCTGGGTTTGTTTATTGATCAATGTGCTTACTAGAAGGCACCATTGCTCTAAACGATGATCTTGGATCTTCTCTCTTCTAAAATAAATGTTATGTTGGATTTCAATTCTTGCACAGCAGAAATATCTCAACAGTCCCTTTCCGGTCTTGTATTATGAAAGTGCGTCGCAACCTCCTGGCATAGTCATTCTTATAGTGGTTGAAACTTCTTATCATATTCTCAGGAATATCCATCTGCAGCTGTTTTCCTTTTTGTTATCTGTTTCTCGTTTCGATCACATTTTTTAGACGAGTGTTTTTATTATTCGGATGCGCAAATGTTAACACAGCATTGCTATTTAAGGTGCTGTCATCTGACCAAACAATATGATGCTTCTAAGTTATAAGAGTCAATCTAGTTGTTTGATTGGTTATAAGAGTCAAGCTTGTCGGAGTTTTGGTTTCAGATCTTTTTTTTTCCTACTTGGGATATGTCGAAACCATGTTAGTATCATGCACCTCAACCATGTAAGGTGTTTTGTGCTTGGAGAAGGATGATTAAAGTGCATTGCATCAATTATCCAAAACCCTAGGATAGATGTTGAGTTAATAATTGAAGAGAAAAATGTAGTAAACCTCATGCTGATTCACACTTTTTGTCTAATATTGTGCAATTCTGCTGTTGAGATAAATAGTGTGCGACCACAAACTTACGATGGACCCATTTCTTCGGATTCCTTCAGCAAAACATGCAGGTAGAAAGCAGCATCCAACTACAGTCAGACTGATCTGAGTGCTTACAAGATGTTGCAACCAATTATATCACCTCTCAACTGGACAATATATTTTTAGTTCATGTGAGGTTGTGGTCATCAGCATCGATTGAATATTGACGAGATTGAAGCTTTGACATTTCCGGAGGATCATCCAAATTCATTTGAGATGAATGATAGTTTGATTAGATGTAAACCAAATTTTTATTTATTTGTCGATTGGATCAATCATATTACTCTGATTTATAGTTTTCAATACTTCCAAGTGCGACCAAAATGAATCAGAATTTCTAGAAAGATGAACAAATCAAGTCAAACCATGCATATTAAGTCAACAAAATGGATCATTACTTTGTGTGTATTTGGTCCAATACCCACAAAGTAGTCAATTGCAATTGATTTTTTTTCTCTGCATTAAGTCCGATTGGGAATCGCTTGACCGACCAAAACACCGGCCTTGTCACTCCCAATGTAATCTAGATTTCGAAGTATGCACGCAGTGAATCGCCCTTGATTCTTCCACCACTAGAATGTCGGCGAATTAAGCTTTACTATTCCTCGACTCGAATGTGAGGTTCCGAGCGGAAGTGACATACCATTGACAAGATGTCGACGCGTGAAGGCAACGGGCATAGTTGATAATTGGTAGGCTGATGGGGCTTCACCTGTTGTCATCTACAATTATCAGCAGTCCACAGTTGGTACTGAGATGGGGACATGATGATTAACACGTTTTAGAGACTCCAATAATTGTGCTGAAGAATCGTATAATCGTGGATGATTTGATTGTTCCGAAGGCTGATAATAATGATGCTAATGCTGATGTTTCATCTAACTGCTAAGGCATACAGTTATCAAAGATACCTTTAGAAATTGAAATATTGACTCTCATGTGAATCTTTTGACGTTCAAGTTAGTAATCCATGATCGCAAATGGTTCAAAATGATCTCATCTTTTTTTACTACATTAAAAATAAGTTTTTATATCTAATAAAAAAGGAATAATATTTTACGATGAGGTAATCCTTAATCACCTCTAACAATCTATTCTATTTTTAATTTTTTCTCCACATAACTAATAAAAAGAAGATAACTTGTAATCATTTGTCTGATTCTGATTTACATGATGGGGATAGTCTTTCTCTCCTTCTTTTTTATCTGAAATATCGTACAAAAATCATATAAAAATTATATATTAGATGACGATCGACTAAAAGCTTTTCAGTTTCTTGCCAAAATAATTCGTGAGGCATGACGAGGGTTTGAACGCTCGAATCGAGCAAAAGGATTCAAATACATGCACACACACCAAACTTGACTGAATTCTCCATGCCCGCTTCACTTGAAATTATTGATCCTTTATGCATTCTTTCCTGCTGTTTACAGTACGAGAGACTGATTCCAGTCTTTATTCGTTGCATCTCCCCGTATTATGGGTTGACTGCCGCGTTCACTGAGCTTCCCAGTATCCGAGTTCGGAAGCTGTACCGAACCGAGTCTACTGTCGAGAGAGAAACGTGGGATAAGATGACTCTTGGTTTGTCCTGTTCACCGGATGAGATGACTCTTCCTCCGTGAAGCACATACACATGGAGGAGAACTCCACCGGGCTCCGGCCATGGGCACAGCCGTGAGTCTTAAGAGCCCCAATCAAGTTGTTGGCAGTTTACTTCATCGAATGAATTTATTAGATGTTCATCGTTGCCCGTCTTCGTTAAGATTTGAGTTCGATCTCTATCGAAGATTGTTAGTTTGGCAAGTCTCGTAGTCCCACATCGGAAAAATCAGGCTTGTTATCTCCTATTGGAACTATAAATAAGGGCCTAGGTTTTGAAGTCAGATGCCACTACAAGTGGCACAACAAGAAAAACCTAAGTGTTTATTTTGGGTTTAAGTCCACACTCAGCTAAATAGTTTGGCTTATAGTTTGATTTTTCTTGTTTAGTATTTTCGGGTGCTTTATCGTCTAGGAACATCTTCCTAAGGCATTTGTAATAGTCTCTTTTATAATAGTGATTTGCTCATCTTTCGTCCATGTAGGTCAAAGTCAATTGACCGAACCACGTAAATCTGGTGTTCTTGTCGCTTTTATCTTTTCCGCTTTATTGTCTTTGTTGGGTTGCCAAAATTATCCTTTGGTAAATTTCCTGGGGCTAGCTCTAACAAACTGGTATCAGAGCCTGGTTTTGGGATCTTTTGGCAACAATGACAATAACAAATATTGTTGTCGAGAAATTCGACAGAAATGTCAACTTCGGCATATGACAACTCAAGATGGAGGCCATTCTGGTTCAAGACGGAGTTGATTTGGCATTATAGGGAACTGAGAACATTCCATATGATACATCAAAGGAAGATCTTGTGGCAATGGATAAGAAGGCTCGATCAAGCATCATTCTAAATCTCTCTGACGAGGTTTTAACGGAGATAGCTACGAAGACTACAGCTAAGAGCATGTAGGACAAGCTTAAAGCCTTATACATGAAGAGGACAGTGGAGAATCGTCTCTACTTGAAGTAGAGTCTATATATGCTTCGGATGATTTTAGGTACATCTATACTCTCACATCTTGATAAATTTGATTCTTTGATTATGGATTTGGAGAATATATATGCAAAAATTGATGACGAGGATAAGGCCTTGTTATTCTTGTATTCTCTTCCTCAATCTTTTAAGCATTTTCGTGATACTTTGATTTATGGAAAAGAAACAGTTTCGTATCAAGAAATTAAATCTGCACTAAAATCTAAGGAGCAGATAGACAGGAATATCATTGGGGAAAGTAGAGAAAATCAAGCTAAGGGTCTGGTTGTTAGGGGGAGAATGGATAAAAGAGAATTTGACAATAGTAGATCTAAATCTAGATCTAAATCCAGACATAAAAATTTGGAATGCAGATATTGTCATAAAATGGGGCACATTAAGGCTGATTGCTTTAAATTGAAAAATAAATTAAAGCAAAAAGAAAAACTTGTTGAGAAAACTTCTGAGTCCGCTGAAGCTAGTGTAGCATTTGATGAGAATGTTGAAAATATTTTCTTTGCTACTGATGACAGGACGATGTCTAAAAATGAATGGATTTTAGATTCAGGTTGTTCTTATCACATGTGTCCCAATAGGGATTTGTTTTCCACATATGAATCTTGTAATGGTGGAATTATTTTAATGGGTAATAATGTCGCGGGTGATATTGTTGGTAGAGGAACAATCTGAATTAAAATGCATGATGGTATTGTGAGGACGCTCACTAATGTTAGACATGTTTCTGATTTAAAAAAGAATCTCATCTCTTTAGGCACCCTAGAGGCTCTTGGGTGTAAATACACAGCTGAAGGTGGAGTTATGAAAGTTTCTAGAAGTGCCCTTATTGTTATGAAAGCTGGTAAGTCTGGTAGCTTATATATTTTGCAGGGAACTACTTTCACAGGCTCGGTTGCAGTGTTGTCATCATCATTGTCTGATTCTGACATCACCAAATTATGGCATATGCGTTTGGATCATATGAGAGAAAAAGGTTTGAGCATATTGAGCAAAAGAGGTCTACTTTGCGGACAGAGTACTGGGCCACTGGACTTTTGTGAACACTGCATTTTTGGAAAGCAGAAAAGAGTCAGCTTCACTTCTCCGGCAGTTCACAAAACGAAAGGTACTCTTGGCTATATTCATTCAGACCTTTGGGGTCCAGCTCATGTTCAGTCTAAGGGTGGTGATAGGCATATATTGACTTTCATTGACGATTATTCCAGAAAAGTTTGGGTTTATTTTTTGAAGCATAAAAATGATGTTTTTCTAACCTTTAAACAATGGAAGGCTTTGATTGAGAAGCAAACAGGTAAACAGATTAAGCGGCTTCGAACAGATAATGGCATAGAATTTTGTGAAGGTGACTTTGATGAATTCTGCAAAAATGAAGGAATCGTTCGGCATCACACTGTTAGGATGACGTCTCAACAAAATGGTGTGGCCAAACGTATGAACAGAACACTCTTGGAGAGAGCAAGGTGTATGATCTCAAATGTAGGGTTGACAAAGGACTTTTGGGCAGAGACAATTAATATAGCTTGTTACGTTGTCAACCGCACTCCTTTTGCAGCACTTAACTTTAAAACTCCAAAGGAAGTTTGGTCAGGTACTCCTACTGATTACTCTGATTTAAAAATTTTTGGGTGTCCAACATACATGCATATAAATGAAGGAAAATTAGAGCATCGAGCAAAAAAATATATTTTCCTTGGGTATGCTTCTGGGGTGAAAGGATACAGATTATGGTGTTCTGATCCCAAATCCCAAAAATTTATAATCAGTAGAGATGTTACTTTTGATAAATTATCTATGTTATCTTCTGAAGAGAATTCTACTAGTTGTACAAATGATAGTGCGCAGAAGCAGGTGGAGCTTGAGATTGGTAGTTCATATTCTTTTAAGTCAAACTCTTCTACTCAAAGAATGCCAGTAGATGGTCCCGAGTCTACTGACGTAGATGATCCAGAGGAAGAGCAATATTCC